TCTTCGCCGTTGATCAATCCCTTTGTGGGATGCGGCACGCATTCTACTTCCATTCAGAATCGTAGTGGCTTATTGAATGCGATGTGGCCTATACAATGACTTGCGGGGGCCAGCCGATGTACAAGTCAGTGTTTTATCCTCCCAGACGAATCTGGTACCAATTTACCGTCCCCGGAGGATAGAAGGCTTGGTTAACAGGGATTCGAAGCCAAGACCGCGCGAGTGGTGGCGCGCCACTTGTCAGTACACCACCTCCTGCCCAAACAGCAGTTATCATCATGAAAATGCAATATGACTAATTTGAAATTGTTACGATAATCCGAGCGTTCTGTTTAGAGAGTAAAATTGTTGTCCAATCTTTAGGTAGTGTTTTTATGCGGCAACGAGGAGGGAGGGAGGGAGGGGGGAGGAAGTTCTTTTCAAAGTATTCCAGACTCCGTTCGCAAGTGCCCTTGTTCTACTTAACGCTGCGTTCATACTCTGCGTCAGCGCGTACCCAGCGTACAGCAGCGTTTTGAGCGACTAGGAAAGTGTAGACATTGATCTAGCGTACACTGTTTTCGCAGCAATTCGAGCCTAAGCAAAATTTCCGCGAAAACGCTGCTGCACGCTCGGGATAACTATACTTTCCCGGTCGCTGAGGGTGGCGCACTTCCGGAGCGCGCCATACGCTGACGCAAAGTATGAATGCAGCATCAATGTCAGCTCTCAAAGCACCCACAAAAACATTGGAGAAACATGTAAATACTTAATATAAGAGCGACGTTAAGCGCAAACTGACCTTGGCCACCACCACTATCATCCTTGTCGTTATCGTCTCGCTTTCTCCCGCAATGCATGGAGCCAAGAATTGACATTCGCTTTCCTTCGTCATCATCAGACGCTTCGGAGGAGGAACAGCTTCAAAGAAAATTCATAGCAGTTCGATCAAAAAGAAGTTCAGAATAGCAAACCTTGTGCTACGACGACTACGTGCGATAAGCCTCTGATGCTGGTCATAACGCCTGCAAACATCTGGTGATACTACTGCATGACGTGGGCGAATCATGCGCACCGAACTAAAACCAGTGGTTAGTAGATCACACGCTAGTTAGTTTTTACTCGGCATTCAAAGGACTACTGGCAGGGGCACTTATAGCGCGACCATAGTGCCAGCTCTTGTCGCTGACGTCTAAGATCTCGACGCGTCTTTTAGGTACAGTAACTCGTCCGGATCAATCAACTA